AAAATACAAAATCTTATTACTTATTATCTATAAAATAGGAGCGAAACATCTCATCCAATAACATATCGTTGTACAATGTGTTCTCTGTAAATATACTCGTAAAACTATGCATTGAACATCCCTGAAACTTATATAGCAAATACATTAAGCAATATTCGCCACAAACTGAAGTCCTATCAACATTCCAGTTCCATCTTTTACAATTTCGTACAGGTGCCCGTCCATATGAATCAAAATATTCACCGACGTCATTCGTATCGATATATAAAGCTACCCAATGTGACCCTGGTTTATCATCTGTACCCAAATTGCATATTACCTAGTCAGGTCATAAATTCTATCACATGCTTAATGTAAAATAATTGAAACAAGTTTATTCATTATGTAACCATTTATATACCAAAATGAACTTAACAAAACATAGATTCTTATGACACTATAGTTTATTCAAAATGACCTCCGTAATTTTGAATACAGGCCTTCAATCTGCGCGGCCAGTCGTCTATCTTACCACGAACGAGGTCCATGTCATATCGGCGGCTGCCTTAATTAAAGATGTCTTGAGTGACTAGAAATTGGGATGAGGCTTTGAGCACGCCTTTTCCTCCAAGTGTTACCATATCTTGTAATCTAACGGATTCAAATCTGGACTGGTCTTTGTGTCGGATGAAGTCGATTTCACGCGCCGCCAGCCAGTCTTTTTTTTTGTTTTTAAAGAACGTTACCTCCACACTAGGTTTTTCTCCTGTATCGTGGGGGCAGTTTACAAACACAAATTTCACAAGGACAAACATCCAAACTCGGAACAATTACTTGTAGGTCGTACAAATACTTGTTCCGTGCGGGATTCGAACCCGCGACCCCCAAGCGCAGCCACTCATTGCTAAGCCACTACGCCACGGAGCTGTCAAAAGTCTTGTGTGCTCTTCGCTCTATGAGCTGACGCCGAATCTTGTTGGAATACCCAGTGCCTGTTATTGAACATGGTATGAGAAACAGGTTACACAAGGTTCGTCAGGACTGTATTTTGATACACAACTGCATTCGTTTTTAACCTTTCTCACAAAAAATGTACCTCTGTTAAGCCCCAATAAGAAACTCCCAACCATACCATGAGCGAGGATGGAAAATGACCTCGTTGGACACGCGGAATACGGTTGCTCGCTTCTTCACTACTGTGTGCGTACACCTTATCATTTTGTTTGTTGTAGCTCTCTTCTACGGTAAAAATTTTTTTATCCGAAAAAAGAATTTCCCGATATTTTTTTCCCGCGTACCGCTTCACCAAAGCGCGGCATCTCTTCAGTCTCAGATCCATTAGACGAGCATTCAAACGATGTCCTGTTTTTCTTCGATATGCCCGAAGCCCTAAGTCTTCATTTAACGCCGTGGTTAACCCTATCTGAAGGGCCCACAGTTTCTGCTTACGTTTGGTATTTCTTTGAATTCGCACCTTTACTGCTTTTATAACTGCTGGAGTCCTAACAAATCGAGGGCGACCACTTCTTGACCTGTCATCTACACTAGAGTCTTCATTGTGTCGTTTGATGGTACGATAAACGAATCTTTTGGTTATATTCAAATTTTTCAGTATATCAAAAAATTTAATTGGCGCGTAATCGCAACTGCAACACGGTCTTTTTAAGCGTCCACTCCATATGTAAAAATGAGTAAAATTGTTTTTCTGTTGAACCAATTTTGTCTAATGTTTTTTGGAAATCAAACAAAATTTATGATTAATTTAAAATTTTATTTTCAAGTAATAACCACTTGTAAAAAAAACCAAACTTCGTCACAAGAACAATGTAAAATTTTGTGATTATTTTTTTGCAAATATATGATTATTACACACATAACGTTTGTTTAAATTTATGACATTTACCAAATCATTGTATTTTGGACATTTGTATTCTTCAATATTAAAAATTCTATCATTCGTCGTCAACATTTTTAAAAATTGTTTTTCTGTTGAACCAATTTTGTATTATATAGTATACTTTAACTAATGTTTTTGGGAAATCAAACAAAATTTACGATTATTTTAAAATTTTATTTTCAAGTAATAACCACTTGTAAAAAACCCACACTTCGTCACAAGAACAATGTAAAATTTTGTGATTATTTTTTGCAAATATATGATTATTACACACATAACGTTTGTTTAAATTTATGACATTTACCAAATCATTGTATTTTGGACATTTGTATTCTTCAATATTAAAAATTCTATCATTCGTCGTCAACATTTTTAAAAATTGTTTTTCTGTTAAACCAATTTTGTACGAGGGTGGATTGAAAAGTACTCGGCCTAACCAAGAAAATAAACACATACTAAATCAGTTATATTTTTATTTTTCTACATAATTACCATCAAGTTCAATACACTTTTGCCACTTCCCCTTTTAAGCATTTAGACCGTTGAAAAAAATGATTCTTCCTTAGAGTCAAAATATGCGTCTACAGCTGCTTTGACCTCGTCGTTTGTCGAAAATCTTTGACCTCCCAAGTGCTTTTTTAGGTTAGGGAACAGAAAGAAGTCTGATGGTGCCAGATCAGGTGAATACGGCGGATGCGGTAACAGTTCAAAGCCACAGTTGTGAATTTCAGCCATTGACTGTACTGACGTGTGAACACGGGCGTTATCTTGATGAAACAGGACTTTTCTTCTGAGCATTCCTCGACGTTTTTCTTATATTTCCTCTCGTAAACGACGTAGTAAGGTGCAGTAGTAATCAGAGTTTATAGTCTGACCCCTTTCAAGATAATCAATCATAATCACACCTTTCGAGTCCCCGAATACTGAAGCCATCACCTTATTTGCCGACAAAATCGACTTAGCCTTTTTAGGGGGTGGTGAACCAGGTCTTCTCCACTGTTTTGATTGTTGTTTTGTTTCCGGTGTACAGTAATGAACCCATGTTTCGTCCATAGTAACAAAACGATTCAAAAAATCATCTGCATCGGCTTCAAATAACTCCAAACAGTCGCGTGAAATAGTCAATCGCGTCCTTTTTTGTTCAACTGAAAGCAGTCGCGGAACCCACCTCGCAGACCTTGTGGAAACCCAGCTCGTTGACAATGATGTTTTAAAATCGTTCATAAGAGATGCCTATAATCTCGGCTATCTCTCCAATTTTTAATCTGCGGTCTCCCATTATTAAATCAAGTACTTTTTTAATGTTTTCGTCAGTAGTTGACGTCGAAGGCCTTCCAGAGCGGGGTTCATCTTTCACACTCTCTCTACCACGCTTAAATTCTGCTATCCATTTTTTGACGGATGAATATGACAGAGCACAATCGCCTAATGTACTGACCATGTCATCATGGATGGCTTTTGATGATAGCCCCTTCTTATGGAGGTACTTAATGACGGCACGCTGCTCGATTTGCTTCATTCGCGGAAATTATGTCCGATTACTTTGTTAATAAATTTATAAAATCACAACTAATTATCGCACACGTTTCGAACTTCACACAATGAACTAAATAATGTGGGTAGATTTGATTTTTAGAATTGAATGGATCTGTGTTAGGCCGAGTACTTTTCAATCCACCCTCGTATTATATAGTATACTATAACTAATGTTTTTGGGAAATCAAACAAAATTTATGATTAATTTAAAATTTTATTTTCAAGCAATAACCACTTGTAAAAAACCCACACTTCGTCACAAGAACAATGTAAAATTTTGTGATTATTTTTTGCAAATATATGATTATTACACACATAACGTTTGTTTAAATTTATGACATTTACCAAATCATTGTATTTTGGACATTTGTATTCTTCAATATTAAAAATTCTATCATTCGTCGTCAACATTTTTAAAAATTGTTTTTCTGTTGAACCACCTTTGTATGCGATCACTTCGTCTTTGCACAAATTTCTAATATACCAATTTAATATGGGAATGATGTTCTCTTGTTTGTAGGCACATTTTAATTATTCGGTCATATCAAAATATGGAATGCCGTGCACGTGTATTTCACAATAACGAACAGTTTTTTTGTCTTTTGGCGACAAATAATTGAAAGGATAACTTGGCTGAAACAAATAATGATCGATAAACGAATCATTTTTATTAGATAGTTTTACGTCTAGAATAGCCATTTCTCTACATTGAAAATGTTTATGAGGATATGTAATGTAAAATCCGTCCATGTCGATGATGTATCTAATATTTTTTAGATTTTGTGTCATTTTGAACCAAAATGTTAAAAGTATTTACACGTGACTAAAATATGTTTGTTCCAACAAACTTCACATAACAATTCATTCTTCATTACTTCCCATCACCCCATTTCTTCCTTCTGCTCTTTTCTTCCTGTAATTTAAGAAAACAGAATCACATTCACTAATGATCAACTAATGACTGTCATTGTTAAAAAAGTATTTTTTAACTTTTTACTTTCTGCTATTGTCTTTGTATTTATGGCTAGGAAATGTCCGCGGCGCGGTCTCAATGCGTGTTGGCGAACTTCACATGCCTTCGAAATTTTCTCAGACATGCAGGTTTCCTCACGATGTTTTCCTTCACCGCCGAGCACGTGGTAAATCAGCACTTAAAATTGCAATTAACAATTTAAGTGGTGTCGGCGGGGATCGAACCCGCGTTACATACTGTAAAATTTACAGCTTGCGCTAACCATCTGAGCTACCACGGCTTAATCATATACACACACAATATTTAAATATAATTTGTTAACACTAAAATCACGTGAATAATAATAATAATAATAATATATATATATATATATATATATATATATATATATATATAATAATAATAATAGGGAAGTGACGACCCCATCGCCCGCTGACGTAACAGTTATGTGACAAAACTACTACGTCGACGCAGTCAGTCAGCGCCCTGCCAAGAGGTGTGAGCGCCGTGCCAAAGCAAAATTGTGGGTGCAAAGGTCCGTTTGTGCATATGACCGAACCATGAAACGGTGCCGGGCTTGGGCGTCTCCCGTTATTTGGCGCCCATAAATGGATGATGGTACAAAGAGGAACGCGCATAGGGCCGCTGCCTGGGGGTCGCCGGGGCGCGTCTGGAGCTGGCGCTGGACGCGGCAGCATGCGGGCCGCCAGCCGAGCGCGAGGAGCTGTACGATCACCTAGCAGCCCTCCGCATCCATCATCCCCACCAGAAGGCTTGGTGTCGGCTGGGTCTTCTCGGACTCAGCAAGCGGCACCCGCCGCTGGTGGAGCACGTCGCATGCGTTGGTCACAAACAATGAACGCAAACGCACTGCGGGCGTACTTTAGGGCAAAAGGGGAAGAGACCGGATGTTTGGCATATCGGGCTCGGATGCATCGCTTTTTTGCAGAGCTGGAGCCATCTCTATCCGTCAATGAGCAAAACCTGGCAGACCGAGTTCGGTACATCCTGCGCTCCAACATATTTGGTGACGCCGAACTCGAACGACTACGACGTGAGGCTGTTCCCTCATCGGATGGAAATGCTACGGCTGGGAATGCGGCGCCACTAATTGCGCAGCAAACTGCAAATGTGGACGCTGCCGTCAATATTCCATTTGTGGTTGATTCAGACGATGATGGAATAGTCTCCTACGAACTAGAGAAAATGAGGAGCATATTGGAAGAGTCGATGCTGGAAACGCGCAGCATGCCTCTCGAAAATCGACCGCGACTTCCCCGCATAACCCTTAGCAAGCGAAATCGGGCTGTCGTGCGGGCTCTTAACCCAATGCTGGTGACCTATTTGGAAGCCAGCCGGGACCTTTGCGAGACGGACTCAATTCTTTTTGGCGCCGCACTGGCAGTATGCCGTATTATTGGCGCCAAACTTCCCATGGCTGGACGTGCTACTCAACAAGGTAGTGCCATCCCAGCCTGGAGAAAAAGAGTCGAGGACCGTATCGCAAAGGCAAGGGCCCTTATCGGCAGACTGACAAGCTTCAGGTCGGGTAATATTAGACCGAGAGTTGTGCGCACCGTTAGAATGGCGTTTGCTGGGACAAATATTAGTTTGTCCCAGCCGGATATCACGCAGAAACTAACGGAGCGCATAGATGACCTGAAGCAAAAAATCGCTGCTTGGGGGAAGCGGAATCGACGATTTAGCGAGAGGTCAAGGCGGTTCAACCAAAATCGTCTCTTCCAGAGTGATCAGAAGAGGCTCTATAAATCATTGGAGCGACCAGAGGTATGTGGAGCGGGCCCAGGACCGGATCAGGCTGACACTGTCGCATTTTGGCGTGGCCTGTGGTCAGAGCCCGTAAACCACAGCGAGGGCCCTTGGATGGAAGTTGTGGCGAGCCAGAGTGCAAGTGTTACGCCTATGGACCCCGTCACCATAACGCCTGAAGACGTGGCTGAGGCGGTCCGTAGGGCCCCGAACTGGAAAAGTCCGGGGCTCGACGGGCTGCATCATTACTGGCTGAAGTGGTTCGTAGTGTGTCACGCTGTGCTCGCCCGACAGTTTCAAGAGGCTCTCGATCAGAAGTCGCTCCCGAGCCTCTTCACTACTGGGATCACTCACTTGGTTCCTAAAGATCAGGATACCACAGACCCGAGCAAATACCGCCCCATCACGTGTCTACCCACTATATATAAGACACTGACATCCATTTTGAGCGCGAGAATCACTCGTCACCTGGAGCTAAATCAGGTGATGTCACGCGCTCAAAATGGATGTCGGGGCGGTGGACGTGGAACCAAGGAACCACTCCTCATTGACGCGGTCATTGGCAAAGTGGTAAAACGCAACCGTCGGAACTTCTCCGCCGCCTGGATAGACTACAGAAAAGCATTCGACTCGGTGCCCCATGCATGGCTAAAGAGGGTCCTCGAGCTGTACAAGATTGACAGTACAGTTAGAGACTTCCTCGAGCAGTGTATGGGGCAGTGGAGTACGATCCTCTGTTATCAGGGCGAGCGGATGATGGCTGCGGAGAACCACATAAGGATAAGAAGGGGTATCTTCCAGGGCGATTGTCTGAGTCCAATCTGGTTCTGCCTCTCTCTGAACCCTCTCAGTACCTTACTGGAGGGCTCCGGGAGAGGATTTCAGCTACGGAAAGGAGGAACAAAAGTGACCCACCTTTTCTATATGGATGACCTCAAGTTATTCGCCTCCAGTCGCTCCCATCTTATGGAATTGCTAAATATCACTTGTGAATTTAGCAATTCCATTGGAATGGAGCTGGGGACGGATAAGTGTGCGGTCCTTCATGTTGAAAGGGGAAGGGTTGCTAACTCTGAGGGCATAGATTTATCTATGCCCGTCAACTTAAAGACCCTTTCCGAGGCTGAAACATACCGATACCTGGGTATGTCACAGAACATCGGTATCGATGAGGCTGGTATGAAACAGTCAGTTTGCGACGTGTTTTATGCACGCTTGACCAAAGTGCTTAACAGCCTTTTGTCCGGTGTGAATAAGACACACGCATATAACGGTTGGGTCATGCCTGTCCTCATATATACCTTTGGCATACTCAGGTGGACTCAGACCGAACTTAACGCCCTGGATAGAAAAGTCCGCACTACCATGACGTCCCATAGGATGCATCATCCGAGATCGTCGGTAATGAGGCTGTACTTGCCGCGAAAGCATGGTGGGCGTGGTTTTATGAGCGCGCTCACCATGCATAATCGCGAAGTGTGCAGCCTCCGTGATTACTTCCTGGCGAGATCGGATGATCCATTCTATAAGGACGTCATTTCTAGTGATAAAGGGCTTACCCCACTATCCTTAGCCAACGAACAGTGGCAGAACCCAGCAGTGCTTAGCATTTCCGACCGGGAGACCGTATGGAAGGAGAAGGAGCTCCACCACGTAGGGAGGTACTACAGGGCTCTTCATGAGCCCTTCGTAGATACAGTCGCCTCCCTCAACTGGCTACGTTTCGGTGACCTCTTCGGGGGAAACCGAGGGTTTTGTCTGTGCAATACAGGATCAGGTTATTAAGACCAACAACTATCGGAGATACATCCTAAAGGATGGCACCGTCGACGTCTGTCGAGCTTGTCGCCATCCCGGTGAATCACTTAGGCATGTCATCTCCGGTTGTTCGGCGCTTTCTAACTCTGAGTACTTGCACAGGCACAACCTAGTAGCCAGAATTCTACACCAGGAGCTCGCTCTGAAATATGGTCTCGTGGACCGGAAATTGCCGTATTACAAGTACTTGCCGGAAGCCGTGCTCGAAAATGACCGCGCCAGGCTCTACTGGGACCGGGCCATCATCACAGACAGGACTATTCTTGCGAATAAGCCTGATATTGTGCTGATGGACCGGGCACAGTCAAGGATATTTTTGGTCGACATTACCATTCCGTATGACGAGAACCTCGTGAAAGCCGAAACAGACAAGCAAACAAAATATCTGGACCTGGCTCACGAGGTGACCGACATGTGGGGTGGTCTGCCGACCGAAATTATTCCTGTAGTCGTCTCTGCAAACGGGCTAATCCCAGTCAGCCTCTCGGGTCATCTGAGGCGACTGGGACTACGTGGCGGACCGCTCCGGGCTCAAATGCAGAAGGCGGTGCTCCTCGATACCGCCCGCATCGTCCGCCGGTTTCTTTCCCTTTCCTCTTAACCCTCGGCCGTTTGGTCTCCCCTGCCGAGGGCCTCCATCTGGTTGGGCTTTTATTTATTTAAGTATTTTTATATTTATTTTATGTTATTGATATTTATGTATATTTATCTTTTCATTCTCATTTATAATTATATATTTATAGAATCCAACCAGATGAGAAAACTATATAGATACCCCACAATAATAATATTCCACAACTATCACACAACGCCATCTAGTCCCAAGCTAAGCAGAGCTTGTGTTATGGGTACTAGACAACTGATAAACATACTTATATATTTCTAAATACATAAATATTATAGATAAATTACACCCAGACACAGAACAAATGATCGTGCTCATCACACAAACATTTGTCCTGGGTGGGAATCGAACCCACGACCTCCGGCATAACAGTCAGGGTCACTAACCACTAGACCAACAGGCCTGTCGTTCAAAATCATACACACGTAAAAAAATAACAGAAAGAAAAGTAAGTTTGTCAATAGATTAAACTCTTACATCTATGGCCTTTGATGCGTTGAAGTAACGCAAATGTATTATTGATAGATACACTGCGGTCAAACGACCATACACTAACTCCATGACTGCAGTTGCTTGGTCTTATATAGTACCAGTAAGTAATAATTCTAATCTAAAGAATTTCTACAGTAGAATTGATAATAACTTTATGCGTCAACAACCTTATCTCACATTCTTCGTGTTGCGTCTTATTCAGTGTATTGATGACTCAAATACGTTTTGTATAACAGAAAAAATGCAATTTAATATTTAGAAATCACATAATTGATCATTCCTATGTTAGTCATTGAGTAGATTGTACTGTAGTAATCTACTAATAGCAGTAATATCATGGATACACTAGATGTACAACAACGTCTGAAAAAAGATTCACCCCAGTCTAGAAAATAATGTTTATGCTGCTAACAGACTGCCCATGTACACCCACGTACCAACGTATATACCTAGTCGGGTCATAAGTATTGTCACACAGTAAAAACTTTTCTTTTAGAATGCTGGCCACAAAAAAGTTTATTGAATTCGAATTGTTCATGAAAATAAAACTGTATACTTTTTAGAATTTTACTCATTTTTACATATGGAGTGGACGCTTAAAAAAAGACCGTGTTGCAGTTGCGATTACGCGCCAATTAAATTTTTGATATACTGAAAAATTTGAATATAACCAAAAGATTCGTTTATCGTACCATCAAACGATACAATGAAGACTCTAGTGTAGATGACAGGTCAAGAAGTGGTCGCCCTCGATTTGTTAGGACTCCAGCAGTGATAAAAGCTGTAAAGGTGCGAATTCAAAGAAATCCCAAACGTAAGCAGAAACTGTTGGCCCTTCAGATGGGGTTAAGCAGAACCACGGCGTTAAATGAAGACTTAGGGCTTCGGGCATATCGAAGAAAAACAGGACATCGTTTGAATGCTCGTCTAATGGATCTGAGACTGAAGAGATGCCGCGCTTTGGTGAAGCGGTACGCGGGAAAAAAATATCGGGAAATTCTTTTTTTCGGATAAAAAAAATTTTTCCGTAGAAGAGAGCTACAACAAACAAAATGATAAGGTGTACGCACACAGTAGTGAAGAAGCGAGCAACCGTATTCCGCGTGTCCAACGAGGTCATTTTCCATCCTCGCTCATGGTATGGTTGGGAGTTTCTTATTGGGGCTTAACAGAGGTACATTTTTGTGAGAAAGGTTAAAAACGAATGCAGTTGTGTATCAAAATACAGTCCTGACGAACCTTGTGTAACCTGTTTCTCATACCATGTTCAATAACAGGCACTGGGTATTCCAACAAGATTCGGCGTCAGCTCATAGAGCGAAGAGCACACAAGACTTTTGACAGCTCTGTGGCGTAGTGGCTTAGCAATGAGTGGCTGCGCTTGGGGGTCGCGGGTTCGAATCCCGCACGGAACAAGAATTTGTACGACCTACAAGTAATTGTTCCGAGTTTGGATGTTTGTCCTTGTGGAATTTGTGTTTGTAAACTGCCCCCACGATACAGGAGAAAAACCTAGTGTGGAGGTAACGTTCTTTAAAAACAAAAAAAAAGGACTGGCTGGCGGCGCGTGAAATCGACTTCATCCGACACAAAGGCCAGTCCAGATTTGAATCCGTTAGATTACAAGATACGGTAACACTTGGAGGAAAAGGCGTGCTCAAAGCCTCATCCCAATTTCGAGTCACTCAAGACATCTTTAATTAAGGCAGCCGCCGATATGACATGGACCTCGTTCGTGGTGAGATAGACGACTGGCCGCGCAGATTGAAGGCCTGTATTCAAAATTACGGAGGTCATTTTGAATAAACTATAGTGTCATAAGAATCTATGTTTTGTTAAGTTCATTTTGGTATATAAATGGTTACATAATGAATAAACTTGTTTCAATTATTTTACATTAAACATGTGATAGAATTTATGACCTGACTAGGTAATATGCAATTTGGGTACAAATGATAAACCAGGGTCACATTGGGTAGCTTTATATATCGATACGAATGACGTCGGTGAATATTTTGATTCATATGGACGGGCACCTGTACGAAATTGTAAAAGATGGAACTGGAATGTTGATAGGACTTCAGTTTGTGGCGAATATTGCTTAATGTATTTGCTATATAAGTTTCAGGGATGTTCAATGCATAGTTTTACGAGTATATTTACAGAGAACACATTGTACAACGATATGTTAGTGGATGAGATGTTTCGCTCCTATTTTATAGATAATAAGTAATAAGATTTTATATTTTATAAATAAAAA